AAAAGTTTAAATAAATGAAATTCATAGGATACGAATTTTTATTGGAAAGCATATAATAGAGTCAGTAGTCTGATTTAACACTATGAAAATACCACATCAAATTTTTTACATGAATTACAACGCATAATTAAGAAGATTTTGAATATTCAACCGATTCCTTAACTGAGAACTATAAAATTTTAATTAAATTTTAAAAGTAACTATTCCAGAGGTTTTGTAAAAATAATGTAATCTTACAAAACTTGACTAGTAGGACTCAATTTTATTATTGAAAAGTTTACCCCTTATATCACTACCCCTTTGGCAGGATCCAAAATCTGAAAATTTGTGTATCGGTTGTTTATGCTTATATTCTTTTTAGAATACATTCCAAAACCAATTTTAGAATTTCTGAAAATCATGCATTTTTGAATTATTACACTTTTATTTCTGGGGGTATTTTAAGACATTTACTATTCTATATTTTCTGTTATTTGTAGACAAAATTCCTTTTAAATATCAAAAAAGTATTGAATGATAACAAAAATTGTCACCTTAATTGTTAAAAAAAATCAAGTAAGAGTAAGAAAAAACCAAATTTTTTCTAAATGCTTTGCTTACATTCAAATTTTTCATTATAAGGTGTTAGAATTATTCCAATTTATTATTAGTAAATAAAGTATTTACCTTGAAAATCTTTAAATTAATGTTGCTCCCGCGGTATGTTACCAACAAATATTTAATTTTTTAATTTTTAAAAGAAATTATTATAGGTTGTTTACAGTCCTTTATTCCTTAATATGTAAAGTAAATACACTCCTATATAAATTTATTTTACTGCAACATTCAGTGGAATTCCTTAATAAGTTCTTGTTGATTTATTTTAATATATAATTGATATATTAAATATTTTTTTAAGAAAATTTCTTTGACTTTGACATTTTTTAACAAAACATGTAACTGAATTTCGATAATGCCGTTTCAAGTTTAAATAGCACCGTATGGTACGAATATGAAGCACCGTATTTGTTGAATAAAGATCAAATTTCATTATGTATACCTAAAAATTCAAAATATGTAATAAAAATGTAAAAATTTCATGCCTACATTCAATAAAATTTTTTTACTGACAATAATCAAATAATTATAACAACTTTAAATTAGTAAAATTTAAATAAAAGTATTGCATACACAATCATACTTATACATATATGTACATTCACAGTTTTCATAAAAAAACTTTAAATATAATTACATTAATAAAATTAATATGTAATTTATTTTATTGGCGCCTGAGCGCATTACATTGATCAACGTTACTCGGTGAGCATTATTCTGAACTGATTACAGATATGTATAAAATTTTTGTTATTAACTAATAATATAATGCCAGATTGTAGTTATAGAAAATGATTAAAGAAAGTTAGATTGTAGATTATAGATTATTGAAGAGAGATAAGGGCAAATTAATTTCTATTCTCCGACCACGGCAGCCAGCCATGATTATTTGTATTCCGCTCATATCGTACTTGTACTACCCCGTTCGCAAGTAAATGTCTGGAAAAATGAACGTGAGTTCTCAATAACTGAGAAAGACTCGCCAAAACCATCTCAAATATTTTGCAATTTTATTATTTCTCTCAATATTCCTATTATTTGTGTATGCCAATGCCATAATTAGCAAATAACAATAACATAGTCCATAATTAGCAAATAACAACAACAATTTTTAAATTTCAAATGTTTTCAATTTCAAAATATTTAAGGTGTTGTTTTACTTCCCTTCGTAATACAATGCTACTGCAAAACATTGTAAAATGTCATGTTAAAAATTTTTATTAAATTTTTTGAAATATAATATTAAAAATAATAAAAATAACTAACTTAATAATTGATTTCATAAACTTTAGGGTCTTCGAATTACAAAATTTAATATTTTTATGTAACAAATAAATTTTGCTCGTTGTATTTTTTTTTGCTGAACGTAAGTATGCTTAAAAATGAATAATATTTCATGTTTCACATCAAAATAGCATTTAATTTAAAGTTTCATTATAAAATTTTCCAAGTTTTTGAACTAATAATGTTTTTAACATGATGTAAAAGGTGTGTACACATGGCTACAACAACAAAAAAGCACACACTAATAACAAAATAATTTTTACTAGAAGTTAATATTGCATAGTTTTGCTTATTTACCCTGAGGTGATCTATTATTATTCGTTATTCAAAATAAATTATACGAGTATACCTATTGGGTGTAAGTATGTATGTACATAGTAAATATTAAAAATATTCAATGTTTTTGATTCGCAAAAATAATAAAAAATATAATCTTGCCTTACAAATAAATAATCACCTCTATACGCACGTAAAAAGAAACACTAAAATAACTTTTGTAAAATATTTCTGTAATATGCCAGTCAGCACCATTGATATGATTAATATATTTGCTATTTTGACACAAGATGTACGATAAATGAGAAATGTGTTTAAATAGAAGAATAGCTAATTAATTTGTGGTTTGATAGTAATTATCCCGATGTTTAATAAATCACAATAACTTTATGTACACACATACAGTAATCAAAGTTAATAATTTTGAAATTTTTATTATTTATTAATTGCATGGCAGTCCGTCATCTAGCTAATTCAATTTAATTGTTAAATTTCATAAAAATAATGATTTAAAATAATACTCATATTTTATTGTAGAATGAAATTTCGTTAACTAACTTCGTTATTTTCGAAACTACACAAATCGACAGAGGTTTAAAATTCGCTCTACCCTGTTGATATGGTTTCGAATATCGCCCGCATTTATTTCCAGACCGAAATGCATGCAATAAAAATCTCAATATCAAATTGGAAAAGGAGTACAAAAATCGTACCGTATATTATATCCACGGGACAATAGGGCGGTAATCCCAAGTTGGTGTGGATCTGCCATACTGCACTTGTGGAATTGGCATCAGCACATTTGGGTACCTGGCCACAATCGACAATGTGGTTGCCTTTATGCTAAAATGATAGATTTGAAACTTCTTCAGGTGGCCGCTGCCTTTTGTGGTTTGCATTCTTCTTTCCTGAGGATTAGGACTTCCTACATATTTGGGACAGAATGCAACCTTCACTTACGGGATACAAAGGGGTGTCATCATGCAAAGGTGTTTTTTCCATCACGCTTAGGAAGTGTCTATTGAATTTTTTTTTTAAAGCACTACTTTATACAATATCATCTGCATGAACCCGAATAATCAGACTCCCGCCTTGTGCAGATTTTTTGGATCATTCTTTACGATTGCTCGGTACTGGCTATCACCGTTTTGGATCCGGTTTTCTAAGCATTCGGGAAATGCTGTTTGAGTTAATCATTTTGGCCAATGTGGAGATGTGTTCTTCTTCCATTCGCTTCTCTTGAAAAATTAACAAATCTGCAAATTTAAAATGCATTAGTATAAATATATTAAAAGTCTTTAAAAATTGTGCCAATTTAAGTACAACTTTAGTTAACACATGCATGTGTATGCGTATACTAAAAAACATGCTCGATATTTGAATTTATGAAAACTATCATAAATTTTTAATTTCAATACCAAATTGAAATTCTCATAATTATCCCTGCAATTTATTTTTTTTCTTTTTTTCTTTAAGCAATAAAATTTCTGCTGAAAGGTCACTTTCAATTTCATTACTTTCAATCAACAACTTCTTTCAACCACCGAATTTAAGTACTCATAACTTAATTTTTTATTATAACTGTTTCACAATAAGTAAAAATTCACAAGAAAAATTTTTATTTACAAACAAAAGTAATTTTTAAATAATATATTTTTTTTACAACAATTTACAAATATTTCGTGCGGTATGAAATATCTTTTTAAATGAAAATAATAAAAAATTTTGTTAAAAATTTTTTAAAATTAAAAATATAAAAAATAGCAATATTTTAAGTTGACTGAGAAACAAACAAAAATAAATTAATAGTTTTTAAATAATTTTTAATAAATATTATGTTAAACGGCTTATGCACATATCGAAATACCGCCAATATTACCGTACACTAATGGAATTCGTGTTATACCGGTGTTTTTGCGTTAAAACTTGGTGATTTTTTTCTCTCTCTCTTCTTGTATGCTTGTAGGTCAATTGGAAAATTATTTTATATTATTTTTTTTCATTTTTGTAGATCATATGATTTGCTGAAGAAATAATTTTTCTTCTTTTTTTAAAATCTGCAGTAAATTTTTAACGTTAATATGTCAATAATTTCGTTGAAATGTTTTGCATTGTGTAGCATTACTGAATGTTATTTGCTGTAAACACAACTTATATGTTTGGACGTATGTATGTGTTGCTAGAAAAATAGTATGTTAACTATGTATATGGAATGGAGCTATCAAAATTTTTGGAGATTTTTTTATGATATTTTTTTTTAAGATTATGTGTGGTTAAGGTCAATTAAATTTTACCAATTTATATGTTTAGTTGCTTTTAAACATTGAACTGATAAACAACAATCCGGTTTAATATAAAACTGTGTTTAACTAAATTTAAAAATTTTAAAAATTTATTTTAATATAAGAGTAAAAAAATTTCAATATTGTGAAAAAAATAATTATTTATTACTTAATTTTATTATTTTAAAATAATTTCAATTAATTTGATTGAATTTAATTGATTTTTGTTAATATTGTGATTTATTGTTGTTAATTACTTGAAAATAATATTAATAATTCAAAGTTATTTTATAAAAAAGTTAATTTTTAACAAATAAGTTTTCATATTTACAAAAAATGAAAAATTCTCTAATAGTTGTTTTAATTTCCTTGCTGATGCTGTGTAATTTTGGTAAGTTAAATGATTTAATCACGCAACTTGTATTAATAAAATTTGAAAATATTATTTATAGTTTTAGCACACTCATAGAATGTTACTAAATAGCCCATAGAATAAATTTAATTGAAATTTAGATTATCCTGTCAGAATCTTTAATTAAAATTCATTTGATTTCTTTTTAGGAACATGCATCGATACAATTTTTCCAGAAGAATTTACATCCTTTCTTAGTTTAATATTGTCAACTATACCAATGTTTAAGAAAGGTAAGTCTAAATGTGATTTGATTTACGTACAATGTACATATATGTACATATACTTCACTGATTTGATAAGATCCAATTTTAGTTCCAAAATCCTATGTTTAAGATAATTCCGTAACAAAAGGGCGGTTCTGAGACCCGGTTCATACCTATGGATGTAAAGAAATTAATAATTTTCTTGCATCCACGTAGGAAACCTACATAGATATAAAATTTGAGCCGGCTGATAGAAATCGGGATAAAAATTGCTTAATTACATTTCTCCAACAGTAAGAGATTTTCCGTTTCCCAAAACTCGATATGTGAAATTGTTTTAGCAATTTTTTTTCGAAATTTAGTAAAAGGGAAATGCAAATTTTTAAATAACTTAAAGAAGTACAGGCATGTATGACTTTGTATATAAACATACCTTAAAATCACACAAAACCCTTTACGAATTCCAGAAGTCCTTCACAGAAGTTCCCGAAAATATTTTTTAGATATTTCCTCATTTGATGATGCAACAGCTAGTCTCTTTTCCAAGAGGAGAGACGGTGTTTTGAGAATCGAGAAATTCTCTAACTTCAGTCTCGAATCTTACTTTTTCTCTTTTGTTTTCTCTTACTCCTCTTGTGTACATAGGGCTTGCACTTGACATCTCCAACTCATTTAATTTTTTGCTAATTGCTTGACTTGCTTAGATGCTAGACGTGATTTTCCCAGTTCTGACTTCCAGGTTTTTCTTTAACTTTATATATTCCACTCCAAGCTCATTTTAATGATATTATTGGCGGGTTTTCTTAGAGTATGTTCGATCTATTTCCACTTTCTTCAAGTTATTTGTTTACAGTTTCTCGTTTCTTGTTATCCAAAGGTCTTCGTTGCTTATATATGTTGGCCGAAATATTAGGCATATTATTTTGAGACATCCATTGATAAATACTTCCAACATCTAGCTGATCGATTTTGATATTAGCCAAGTTTCGTTGTCGTGCAACAGAACCCACTTTACACAGAACCGGAATATTCTTAAATTTGCCGCTATGGATATCTGGCTGCTTCTCCATGTCGGTTGCAATCAGCCAAAAGCTGTTCCTGCTTCATTATGTTGATTACACTTTCTCCTGTCCGTTGTTTTGTTTTAGTTCCTATAAAGATTAAGATATTCAAATTCACAAATTAACCTTAATTTTTAAAAAAAAGAAACCCAAATTTTTGCTAAAAATTTAGAAGTTAAATTTTGATTTGAACATAGTCAAGTGAGTGATTTTAAAATATTAAATATTTCAATTCTTTGACATAAATTTCAAAATATTAAAGTTTTCCTTGAACTTTTCACAAATAAATTTATTAACAAATCTGATAATGATGATCACGTACCCATTTCAAATCACAAAATCGGAGTAAAAGAAGATGTCAAAAATTTAAAATTCTCTAATTTGTGAGAAATGATAGCCAAAAATTAATAGTTTCTAATGTTTTAATATCTTTTCTTTTTTAACATAAAACTAAAAATATAATATGCAGGTCACTAAATCTAATCGTTTTCAAATTTTTAATTTCTTATGATTAATCATCTGTCATGCATCGCACATAATCAACTTTTGTCTCAGTTATACCTGTGTATATGAGATTTTGTTTTTAATTTCAAAATTTCTTCAAGCATATTTTGCATACTTATTGAAAATACACATTAGTTGAGAAAAAACACTTCGCTAGCATAGTGAGTAATCAAATGATTTAATAAAATATTTTTTTTTTAAACTGAATTGATTTTATCAAGTGACGCTATGTGAGGACAATTATTGCTTCATCATTAATAATTTGAAATTTTTTAATGAAGTTTGACTTGAAATCGAAAAAAACCTTTATTACCAATTTAATAATTTTATTTAAAAAAGCAACCCAATTAGATTTAACTTTAATTTTTTATTATCATGTGATACTCATTATATTTAGAGGCGCCCAATTATGTTTACAAAAATTTAGAGAAACTTTTAAATTGAACCAACAATTGAAAATTTTTTATATTGAAAGTATTACTATACTACCATCATGCAAAAAATTTGTCATGAAAAATAAATTTTTGGAATAACATATTATGTTGTATAATTGAGAATAATCTCAGGTTTGAAGAGGTTGCTTGTTTGTAAAGTTTTATTATAAGTAAGAATTTCACTATTAAACATTGTTCATGAAATTTGTTTGATTTCATTCATCAAAAGATTGATAAAAGTTTGATTTTGTTTCCAATTCATATCAAACAAATAAATAATAGAACGCCATTGTCTGAAGTTCAAAACCTATGTTAGATTATTTTCTTTCATGAAAACATTGAAAAAAATTAAATTTGATACGATGATTAACCACTCAATGGAGTTCATCATAATTTACAATAATTATGATTTTTGCATAATAATAAAATGAATTCAGTTCATTGAATATACCCGAATGAATGTAAATTAATTGTAAATTTACCTAAATGATAGTCATAAAAAAAAACATTTTATCATTTTAGTAAATTTTACAAATTTATTTAAATTTTAATAAAAAAAATCATTAATCATCAATCATTATCACAGTTTCGTCGCATATATTAACAATTTTCATAAACTTTATCTAATTAAGTATTATTGTTATTCGGCTACCGAAAATTTTTATTGAGTTTCCTTAGCGCAAAAAATTTTACTATAAAATAATATGACAACATTGAATATGCATTAAACAGTGTTACCTACATTTTTTTTTACCGTATGTATGTCAAAGTTTTAAATTTAACCTTGAACTTTAATTTAAACTAAAAAAAATTAACGTGGTTTTAAGTTCATTTACTTAATGTTATATATAGAGAAAAATTAATCAAAACAGGTAATCCAAAATCAATTTCGAGATTTCAATTTAAAAAAAAAAGTCTCCACAATTTTGGAGAAAATAATTATAAAAGAGAATAGAGTGACTATGACTCTTTTAAGCTCTTTTTTATTTAATTTTTATCACACATTGTTTAAGTAGCCAGAAGTTTTATTACATTTTATAGATAATTTTTAATAAGATGGAAAATTTTAGTTAAATCTGTTGATTACTGCGAAACAATTAACTTAAATATTTTGTTTGTCTGACTTGTTTTCGGTATGATGGGGTGGGTGTAATATAAAAAAAAACATAAATTTATAAATTATTTATGAAATTTTATTAAGATAAAAATGGTTATTTAAAATGCATAAATTCATTTAGAAAAAAATAAATATTTTCCAAAATTCAATTCAAATTTATTGAGCCAAATTGGTGTTTATTTATTTTATTGTATTTGCTTAATACTTTAATATTGGGTCATTGTCACACTTTTATTGAATTTTCTTAATTTGTAAAACAGTAAATTCAATTATAACAGCTACTTATAATAAAAGAACTGCGTTTATACAGGGTGTGTGATGACAGAAAAGGCCTGATGACATTAAACGAACGAAAAATAACAGAAAACATTTCAATTTTGACTGTCAAAATGTTTTTACGCTCCGAATTCAATCAGATTTAAAAATTTATTTTATTATTTAAGCATTTTTAATGCAAGCAATTAAAAATTATTTTAACTTTAAAATTTAATTTTAATTTTAGGTACAGATTCACGCTTTGGATTTGGTTTCCGAAATAATCAAAATTCTGATGTACAATTTCTTTTTGAACTTGGACCACAAACTTATACACAATCACTTGATTCAGACAATTCAATTGATAAAAGAGAAGTTAAAAGTAAAGATGTACCAACAATCATAGATAAATTACCATTTTGGCAACAACAATCAAGAACTAAAAAGAAATTATTAAAAGAAAATAAAAAAATTATTAAATTTTTGGGTCCAAAAAGTGAAAAACAAGAAAAGGTGAACGTAGAGAACAATCAACAACATGAAGACGAAGAGCAAATTAAAAAACAAAAACCAACAAAAAAAGTCTTAAAAAGAACAATTTTAGATGAAGATTCTTTTAAGCAACTGAAGTCACTTTATAAAGCCCTCAAATAAAAATAATTTTTTTAGGTTTTTTTTTATAAAAAAAAAAAAAAAAATTTGCATTTTTATTGATTTATGTATGTAATTGCGAAACGAATTCAAATTCGAAAAAAAACAAATTTCGAAAATTTTTTTTCTTCGTTCTTTCGCGCATTTTAACAAATTCGCATCCAATACATTATTATTGCCTCCTAAATTGGCAATTGGTAACAATACAATAACGACTAAAAAAAAAAATAAAATTAACAATAATATCACAAGTCATTATCAATCTCAATCATTTCAAATTTCTTCTTTGGTGGTCCTCCCCACAATTCTTCGTTCAGTTAAATGGTCTGTATTCTTTTCATCTCTTTACGCTATATACAAGATGAATTTCAGTAAGATGAAACTTTTGATTATTTTTTATTGTTCTTTAAATGTTATAATTTCTCTACTTTTAAAGCCATACTACGTCTACCTTTAATCTCTAGAAAGTTTTTAAGATTTTCCAAGAGAATTCCTTAAATCTCAGGGTCTCTTTTTTAAACTTGTTGATTACAACCATTACCAAAATATAAAAAAAGAATGGCAAGCTAGTAAAAAAAAAATAAGCGAATTAAATTTTATTTAAAGCCTTTCGATTGCTTGTACGTAAGTAATGTGTTTTGTATATGTTTTGTATGTTATTTTTATATATATGTAGGTTCAGCATACATAATATTGCCTTGGACTTCATTTTTTCACATGGTAATAAAGAAGAATGCGAAAATACCAAAACGAAATGTTTTTTTTATCATCATCATTTTATTTTGGCTGAAAACTAACCGGTAAGATTTAATTTTAAAACAAAAATTAGTGAAAAAAAAAAACAATGAAAACTTTTTAAATAAAAAAATGAAAGGGATGTAAAATTTAGCATTGGACTGAGATTTATTACCGTTCTCTTATATCTTTTGTCTCCCGTTCATTTATTTTATTAATTTGTTATATATACCTTCGGCAATTTCAATAGGTGTTGAACTAACAGACGGTATATGACTATATGTAGTGAATTACAGAAAAATTAAATTTTATATTTTATGGTTGTATATTTTTGTAGAACTAATTTTGATAGGTGACCATATACATAGTTTTAAAAAAACTTAAAATGGCTGTTGAATCATTCTTATAGAATACATGAAACGACTTTTGGTCTTACTTGAAAACGGGAACTTGGGGATGCCTTTGAGTACGTGCAATTTTTTGCTACATAATGCGGCAATAGAGCAAACCGTGAGGAGATGGGAAAATGCAACACGGACCTGTCGGATGTAAGTACCAGGGATTTAAACCAGTTTATAAAAGACTGTGGCTGGTTCAATTGATATTGGAGATCGAGCGGTATCACAAAGGGATAGCCGCGTCAACCTAAAATAAACTAACCTATACCATCATTATACAATATAAATAGAAATTAATAAGAATAAACTGTCCCGCTTTAAAACATTAAGAATTCGGCCAATTCAACGTAATAAATTTAATTTGATGTGTTGACCTTTTATTATATGTATGTATATGAATTCTAATCGGTATTGGAATGCAGACTAAAAAAACAGAATATAGTTAAAGTAAAGTGTGGGAAATTGAAGGGTATTCGTTTATTAACATGCTAATTGTATTCTAGACCGTACGTCAGTATTATGATGTACGATGTGTTTGCATATAAGTGTGCAATTTTTGAAAGATTTTCCCGTATTTTGCAATTTTAAAGAAAATTTGGAATTTTTTCTTTCGTAATTGTACTGAACAACTTCTGAATTTCAGTATGGATTAGAGCAAGATCAGCTGATACACTTAAGTCATATTTAATCGAATAATAAACACCCTTGTATGCTAAAAGATGACACCAATACTCTAGCCCTAAAAGAAAATACTAATGGATTACATTAGACTTATATGATAAAATTTATTTTGAAGAAAAGATAAAATATTTCTTTTATTAAAATGTTTTACAAGTCCTCTTGGACAAATTGAATAATTTCATAATATAAAATTCTCGTCGCGTTTCTCATCGGATATTCAAAGGAATTTTCTTAGAAAACGGCTTCAACTTGACATTTTGATTTAATGTTTGAGAGCATATAAGAAATGCTAATGTTGTTTTGTTGAAATAATATAAAATTCTAAGAATTTAAAAATTCTCTTCCTTTAAATAAAATTTTTTTATTTTTTTTCCTTATTTCAGTTTCCATACTAAAGGGCAAACCATATCCTTGAAATTAGGAAATTTTTTTTCAAATTAATATGAAAAAAATTTTTATTTCTTTTTCGTCTCAGTTTTAGAATTTATTCTTCTGCTCTTTTGTGTATTGTTTTTATATTTTTAAGGTTAATGTTTGCTTAGGTAGAGTACATCATCATCATCACCATTGCATCTTTATCAAAATTTCTCATCTTTCTTTCTCTGCATTTTCTTCCTTAGAGGTGTTTTCTTCTTTGAAAAATTCCTTTCATGAAAAAAATATGATTTTCAAAATTTTTTTCTTAATGACATTTTGGTGGTCTGTTTTTTGTACCTGTTGTTGTGTATAAAATTTTAAGATACTATGTACTTAAGTACTACAAAACTGTTAGGTTAGGAATAGTTTTGTAAAGAGATAAAAAATGATAATGACTTTGATGGTGATGGGCTTTTGTCGGCGCCTCAAAATATCATAATAAATAATGTAAAGAATTTTAAGAGCACAAACTAAAATACATATGGACACGTAAAAATTATATTTGAAATTTTATTCATTAAAATTTATCCATAAAATTGCTTAAAATCAAAAAAATATTCTTAAACTTTTGTGTTGAAATATTTTACAATTCGATAACAAAGTTAATAAGAGTCTAACAAAATAAAAAGTATTTGAATTTTAATTTCTGTGAAACCGAACTCAATAATTATAAAACTAAAAGTTTAAATTCGAACGATATAAGAAAGGAAGAACAAAGCTCTTCATTTAACGGTATATATCACAATCTGAAGGAGTCACTCTCCCAAATACAACAGTAATTATATTACCTTGTATAAAGAAATGGTTGAGAGGAGCAGTTACGGATAGTTATCCCCGTAGATGACTTAGTAAGCATGTTTTGCTGAAAATTATTTATTACTCTTATACATAACATATTTTGCATACTAAATAGCGTTAACAAGTTAAATATGTACCCTTAATTCTTCTGGAATTATTAGGAAAGCTAAATATACATAAATGTATACAAAATATCCGGTGTATTACAAAAACAAAAAAGGGTTCGTTTCTTACAACGTACTTTAGGAATGCATGATATAACTTCTACTTTAAATTTATACTACTTTAATATTTGTATATATTCCGCTTATTAGTCCAAATTTATTCGCAATTATTCCGCTTTAAGTCCAAATTTATTTCGAGTACATCAGTTATGCGTTCATAAATATGTAATTTCATTATCATATATATAATTAATATTTTAAATATTTTGACAATGCCGGCACATCTTAAAACTATAATAATATTAATTCAATTTTTTTATAACCGAATTTTTATCACATTCATTTTCTTTCACTCGTTTTTTGACTCCCTACAAAAAAATCGATTTCAATAATCGAATAAAAAATAAAATTTTATTATAAAATTGCTAATAATAAACAAGAAAAGAATAAAATTGAATCCCTTAAATGAAAAGGAATCATTAAAAAAAATATTTTTAACGTGAGGAGAGGAGACATTCAGATATCTTATGAGTCATTATTCTTGAGCTTGTTTTTATTATTTTTTTTTTAGGGAACATCATTTTTGTTTTTTAATCTTCCAGCCAGATTCTGATTGACCACATTCCATTCTTATGCTTATTCATTTCTTATTGTAACTTATTTCTTATGCAATTTTTAATTCATATTTTTATTTGTATGAAATTTTGTTTTAAATGACAGTAATGTTGTCGAGTTTAGTTGAGGCTGTTAAGTTAAGATTTTGGAAATATTCATATTATCTTAAATTGGATTTGAATTGAAAATTGTTGTGACGCCTTATTTCAAAAACCAATTCTTATACAAATACAAACAAAGCAGCAACCAACCACCATTTATTCTCTTCGTTGTTTTGAATGAATTTCATTACTTCTTTGCTTAAAAAATAAGAAAATCAAATAAAAAGTCTTTAATTTTCATCATTTCTTTTTTATCTCCGTGAATAATTTTTTATTTTCTTGAAGATTCTTTAACTTTAATATCCCAAATATTAATATATAAAACTGACTTAGGTGCACAATTTATAGCACAGTAAGATTATTTTTTTTGGATAATTATACTCGTGAGAAGGATAATTTCAAGAATATTAATACACAAAAAAAACAATAATGTTAATGCGCGTTATCGCCGAAAGAATTCCTTCTTAATGAAAGTATACGTTTGTATACTGGAAGAACTAGTTTTGTTGATTATTTTCGTTAAAATGACGGTGTTTTAGTATTTATTATATAAAAGTGAATTTAATTTAAATGCTCCACTCATCAAATGACATCTGTCTTTAGAAAATTTGGGTTTTATATACCTACTTATTTTTTACGCAGCTACACTTGTTTAACAACATTGTGTAGAGGAGGGCAGGACAATGCGTTAATAACTTGATAATAACTACGTGCATGGTTATAATAATTACCAAAAAGAAAATTGCTATGACGAAGATTAAATTTATATACAAAACAAAATAAGAAACAATATCTTTTGAGATTTGTGAAGAGGTATATTGTTGTGGTAATTGAATAAAGGTTGTAAGTGATCATTAAAAAGGTAAAAAACGGATTAAGTTAATTTTGATTGAAAAGTGTGACTTAATAATATATCATTTAAACAATTATAGAGTATTTATAATAGTGGTTTTAAAGATATGACCCACAGGAAAAAATCAACTCCGATCGATAGTGATCACCCCGGCTCGCAACAGTAAACATTTGATCTTTAGTTTTTTTGCTGAGATTAAATCGATACAAAAAAAAACAATGAGAATAACTAGTTTTAATTTTCTTGTTGAGCTCGTCACGCTAAATGCAATTAGAAAGCAGAAAATTTACCTTGGGAGAAATAATAATTTTTATTTGAATAATCCCAGCTTCCAGGGTAGCAATGCAGCATTGCTTATGGTTTATATATCAACGTTTTCTTATTATCCAACAGTGTCTATTAAAATATGTAAAAAATATCTCTCGGAATCTTTACATAGTTCTATATCAAAACTATTGTGATCCTTTTACGTTCCTGAAGAAATCGACATGACCCACCGAGTCTGAAAAGTTTCGCAAAACTCTTCATCTGAAGATTTAATATTAAACGATTAGCTTTCTATTGTAGAAATGTATGTATATATGAATATATGTATACATCACTTGTTTCTTAAATTTTGGAATAAATAATAACACATCTGTATAAAAAATCATAAATCTTTCTTAAAAACTAAATTTGAATTTTTTTAATAAAATTTGGATTGCGATTATTTGAGGTATAGGTATACATAAGTATTTTATTAATAGAAACAATATCATTAAATACAGTCCAAATTTCTCAGAAAAATTTCTTGCATGAAAAACGGGAAGTTTACAACTTTAAATTAAAAGAATTGCCTGTTCTTCAAAATATTTCCTTTGTACTACGATAAATATTAGAAATTTTTTAATTTTACGTACATATTTATTACAAATGTAATTTTTTGCTTTCAGAACCGGTTGCACAAATCTATGAAAACTCATTGACGTTTTACTAAATGTTCACATGAAAACCGTGTATGTACTCGGTCTAATCGTTTCTAGATTTTAATCTTAAAACTTTTTATATAAGCGCTTAAATATTTGCTTTATTATTTCTTTTAAATTCTTTACAATTTTTCATGTTATTTCAAAGAGTTAAATTCGACATAACATTTTAATTATTAACATCGCTTTATTTTTAGTAAATGTTTTTCATGGAATAAAATTAAATTAATTATTTACCATTATTCTTAAGTGATCTTTAAAGTTTTTCCTTATTAGGTACTTATACATTATTTAATTTAACTGTTTCAATAGGTGTAAAACAATTTTCTTATAAAAAAAAAAAGTACTTAGAATATTCTCAACTAGCTCTTATACTTTGGCGCACAAATACTGTTGTTAAACAAATGGCATTTAATTTACACTAAAATTAAAAGTGTTACCGTATTGAAAATTATATATCTGTTTTGACAGAGCGATATGATTCCAAAAGAAATTTTTAAATTACTGATTTCGAAAAATTGAGACTTTGCCCTTCAACACGTTGCAGAGCATGTTAATTAATATAGCCACCCACACTTCACTATCATTTCACTTTTTAAAAAAATTACTGATGTAGTTTTATATAACATTTGAAGTTACTCCTTCAAGAAGTAAATTTTTTAAATATTTTCTTCAACCAAGTTTCAACCATCAATTGGTTAATCAACTAGTTCACTAACGATTGGAAAACTTGATACGCGACCAAGTTGAATAGGGGATGAACAATATCACATTAAAATTGCAGTCATGCTATATAATATTATTATATTTTATCAAATTAAACCGTAAAACAGAAAACGTCTATCTAAATATGAATCTAACGATAGGTTCAAGTAAATAGCAATACAATTTTTTGAAACAAATAATTCATCACCTTGTTGTGTTTACTCAAAATATTAGTGAAATCAGGAACGTGATGTCGGCGTTCAATGTTCTCATAATTAAAAATAATGAAATTGTTAAAGCTGTTTTTTGAAAAATGTTTTCCTAAAGCGGATTTGGCTTATTTAGCTATACACAATTTACAACTAATTCAAGTAGTAGACTAAAGATTATTTTGCGTTTTCACATATTTCGCATCTTTTAATATGGCAGCACCAAATTATTGAATTATGCATCTAAAAACAAATAAAGTTTTTTACTGTAATTTTCTTGTTCGTTAAAAATATTATAAACGTGAAGCAAAAACCAACATTTTTCCCTTTCACATATTTTCACGACATTTTCATTTGCTTTACGATTGCTTTGTTTTTATTCTAATATTGAGAATTTCCTTTATCAAATAAAAGACTTTTAAAGATCTACTATAAAAAAATTCAGAACATTCAATGAATTATACATACATATATTAAATTTATTTATGTATGTATGAAGATGAAAAAAAACACGTTGTAGTGAGGTTTTTTTGTCGTTTGAGTACTTAAAAGCCGCTCTTATTGAAATATGTGTGTTTGTGTATCATGTTTGCGGTATGAAAATGTTTTGCATAATGCAATCACTAAAATTGTTCTTCACCACATTGCAAATAGTCCAATATGAAGTGTTTTTTTTTTGTTTTTTAATTGTTTTTTTTAGATATATTTTTTATTATTTCACTTTTTTCTACTATAATATCATGTCAGGTTATGTAGGTTTTGGGTATTTTTTTTTCTAGTTGTATCAATTTACCAAATTATACTACATACCCATTTTCTAAAAATATAACCATCCCATATCTATAAACAGTACATATATATCAATACATATATGCATACAATATGCGATTTAAAATAAAATGCTCGATCATAGTATTATTAAGGTTTGCTAAACTATAATGAATATAACACGCATTTATTAAAAAAAATAAGGAGAAAAAGATAAGTTGTATGTAAAAACTAAATTGGCGCACATTGCACAAAAGTCTATCTTTCAACTAATGCATACACTTTTATAATTGTACGTAACACCAAATCTGAATGAATGAAAAAAATCCTTAGGTTGTTTTTTTTTTTTTATTTTCTTATATAGGAAAAAATGTAAGCATAAAAGAGAAAATTTCGCCCTTTTTCGCGAAAAACGTTTTTGACCCTTTGATTGAACTTTTGATTAGTTTTTTTTTTGTTTTAAATGCAAATGATGCAAAAAGCATTTATGGCGTTTTTTCCGCTACATGCATTATTACGACTTACGAGTACCTTTAGCAAAACAATTGTAAAAGATTTTTCAATAACACAAGTTCCCAGTTTGACAAAATATGGTTTGAAAATAAAAATATATAGCGGCAACACTTGTAATATTGGTTTGTTTATTGCTTAAAAATTTTGATTGACGGAAGCTGTACATGTCGGAATGGTATAGAATAAGGGAGCAGATTACAGAAAAATCAAGATTCGGAATTAAAGTAAAAAGCGAAAAATGTATTTTTACTTATGATTTAAAATATAAATGTATTTTACTGTCAATGTTAAGAGTTTTATTATCGAAATTGTGATAGTTTTTTGACTAATATTAATGAATTTTTATTCAACTAGCCGGCATTCGAATTAGTGAGGTAACGTAAGTATTATACATATATACCATACATAATATATTCAAATTAACAAAAAATTAAAAAATTTGGATGTGAGTTAGAGAAAAATTAAAATACAGAATTTTAAAGAAAACTTTTTATATTTCGTATACCTTTGAATAGATAATAAGAAAGAAGTTTTTTACCCGACTGCGCATACATTTATGTACCTGTATCTTATGTACCTTAAAAGACATTTTAAATCTAGCCACTTGTTCCCTCACAAGTCAACAACCCAAGTGAATGGTTACCAACTTGGACTAAACTTATGTATATATTTGAGAGATTTTTCGAAGGCATAATTCAAGAAAATCTGAATTATTAATTAAGAAGGAAAGCTGAGTTGAAACAAGGAAACGACCCACACAAAAAAATGAAACACGGTGAAAAACCCGTTACCACTTAAAAAAATAATGAACGCTTACTTGTACTTGAATTACATACATATCTTTTTTGTTTAAAATTTTCTAGATCTAAACTTTAAATAATTTTGTGCTCTGCAAAGTTTCATTTAGTTTTACTAGGAAATTATTTTGATTTGTTGGCTCATATTATTAATAAAAAACATTGCCAACAGCGGATAAATTATATACCCCATGTAGATAATTATGTATTAAATAATTAAATTTATCATTGATCTTCCTTTTGGGCTTACATTCTTTCATAGTTGCAAATGATATTTAAATCACATAAAATATCATTCAAACATGTAGCCAATACAAATTGACTTGTACAACTCGTACTCTTCTAATATGTTTGATTATATAATAATCAAATTAATTATTATACTACATATAGGTATGTTTAATTTTTATCTTCCAAATCAGCTATAAAATATATTTTATGAACATAAAATGATGTGAGCCTCGAAGGTATTAAAATAGTAAAAGAACATTATTTAATATAAAAATTTTCGCAGGACATTTTACAAGGTGAAATTAATATAACGAGCTTTAAAAACAAATTTCAATTTTATTAAGAATTTAAACACATATATAGATTAGAACTTCGTCGTCAAATAGCATTATTTCAATCATGTAATAGCGATTTTTAATAATTGGGCTGTTAAATTAATTACTATACTATATAAAAATTTGAATCTTCATGTAAAAATTATAAAAATAAAATATTGCAAGTTGAAATTAATGTGGGAATCGCAATCTCAAAATCTGAGATAAAAAGTTATTTTTGTACAAAAAGAATAAAATTGAAAATGTTTAATAAAGGAAAATGTATTAGAATTATGTTATAGACCGGATCAATTATGCATGATTATGCATTAACGTTGCAAATGACCAATTAAGTGCCATATAATTTTAATTATTTGTGATTCGTAAAGTTACCAGTTCCCTTCCGTTCCCAAGATTTAGTTCATACGATGATGACGTTATCATACTGCTTGATGTTTAAAAATAAATAATAATGCAACATGCAGTATAATGTCGTATAAGGAAGAAGAATAATGATGTATAGTGCTTTATAATAATGTATGACAGCGCATGATTACGTTTTTCGTCAATATATGAAGTCAATCCGGTTATTTTAGCGGTTCGTAACGACGGTTTGCTTTAATTGTTCTGATAACGTAATAAAAAAACGTTTTCTTTTTAGATT